GTTTAAGTGTGGCCGGTTTAAAGAAAAAGTGCGATAGAGATTGGAAATTGGTGTTGGTAATGTCAAAATTCTGATTTATAAATGTTATTATTACATGTGTGAATCTTAATCCAAATGACCTGAAATTTTGCATGATGCATTTTTAAATGATACTTGAAGTAATAATGTAAATTTCGAATACAAATGAATATAATATCCAGTGCGAAATGTATTAAATGCCGAAAGTACAATTTTTAAGATTCGAGATCAATATGTGTGAAAAAGAGCCCCTGGTCAATGTGTTTGATCTACTTAATCCTAATTGTGATTAATATGAGTGATTTTAGAGATTTAGGGAAAAAAATATGATCCCTAAATCTAATGTGCCAGTGTGTGCGTAGACAGTGCGGTAATCGGGGTTACTGGGGCATTTTGGGTTGAATCATCTTGCATGCATTAGTGCATAAATAATTATTAAATATGATAAACATATTGATATTGTAATTACAAATGTGTTAGGTGGAATAGGGAGGACAGTCGGTGTTGAGACAAATATGGAAACACCGAAGGGATCCACCGGTAGGTCCGAAGGCCTGTAATTTGTACACTTGAGGTGGATATATATCTTTATATGTTTTGAAATAATAATTTTTCTCAAAAATTATGTGCTATATACTTATGTGATTGAATGATGCTTTGTACTATGTATTGTGTATTGTGGAATATGACGCACTGTTTGAGGCAGGAGCGTCGATGCCTGATCACTGGGAGTCTAGTGGTATGCTAGCACTGCGATGTTCTTGAGAGGTTCAAGAGCCACAGATCCACGTGGGATCGACTACCCAATGAGGGGTAGTATGGATGTGACATGACTTGTAAATTCTTTAGAATTGGATTGATGTTGTTGTTTGATATGTGTATTTATGTAGTATGTACCTGCTCCTGTGTATTATTATCATTTTCATTTCATATACAACATGTATACTCACTAAGCGCGTAGTTTAGCTCACATCTCTATAGGTTCTCTTTTTCAAGTAATATATAGGGAACTGCAGATCAGTCCACTGTTCAGTCGGTTAAGTACTGTCTAGTGAAATTCAGTTCAGTCTAGAGTGGTCCAGTGAAGTTAATGTGATATTACTAAGGTTGTATGTCTGTTAATTATGTATTTAGTTTTAATGAGTTGAGTGATACAGGTTGTCTATATAATTATTTGTTGGGTTATATATTAGATTGAGTAAGAGATTGTATAACAGGTTAATAGTATATATTTGTAAACAGATTCAACAAACATACTTTGTGATATATGCTATGTGAGTGTGGGATTTGGTATATGCCTATAACTTGGGAAACAAACAATTAATACATGTGTTATATATAGTACAGGTTGTGAGATATGTTTTACCATAATGTTTAATGACTAAGGTAATGAGTGATGTTGTTGTACCTGTGAGATTTTTTAATATTTTATTAGTCCAGATTATATATATATGTAAACAAGTGTATCAAAAATCTAGTCGCGTCTCATCTTTGGGAGACTGGGATATGGCGTGACAGTAGAGCACAATGTGTGTCCTTTCATGTAGAGAGAACTTATAATTTATAGGCACAGGGCCTTGGTTAAGGCGGTGATTTAAGGGCAAAGATATTAATTCTCCGGGTGTGTACAAAAGGTAATTGTTATAAAATGTTGTCTTGATCTTCGAGAGAGAGTATCCCGGTAATTGCTCTCCATGTGTTCTAATTCTTCGTGGACTCCTTAGAATTTGGGCTGGGCCGAATTCGCGAACTAGGCTTGGCTTACTTTTTAGTTGACTTGTGCTTGTTGGATTTATTGAGCCTAGCCTGATAAGATTCGGGCTCGTCATCATACACTACATATTTATATTTAATACATAAGAGACTAAATTGATCCAATTGAAATATTGGAGATCAAAATAAGACAAATTCTATATTTTAGAGACCTCCAGTACAATTAACTCTAGATTTTTTAAGCATTTTTTGAGTAGTTCTAATTACTATGACCCTAGTTCTAATTACACCAAATATTTGCTATAATTCTTTTCTTAATATCAATTAGGATAGACAAATAAGTAAACGACTAATAATTTTCGGCTTTGTGGAAACATTATAGTCATATCCAGATAAATAGAAGGCATATTAGAGTCATTTTGTTATATTTAAAAGGATTATAGGATTATTTTGTTATTAAATGAATTTTTTTAAAAAAAGTAGTCATAATTTGAATTAACAAAATCAACTATAAAGCTTGTGATGACACAAATTGGTGATAAATGAATAATTGGTAGTTAGCATGATTGTTTAAATAGAGAAAGAAATTTTCAAAAAAGCAATAAAAAATTCTTATGCAATAAATTTTTTTTGAAGTATGAAAAATATGTGAAATCAATTTTAAATGGTTATATTAAAGTTTTGTTTTTGAAAAGGGTTATAATTGATTTTTTTTATTTGCATACACTATATATACCGGTTTTTTGGCCATTCTTAAGTATCAAATATACTGTATTATATTATTTTTAGCAATTAGTAGAAAAACAATTAAAATATCCACCTCATAATAATTTTCTGGCTCAACTGTCACTAAGTCAACTGTAGGATGCCGTGAGAGTTGGATTTACTATTAGAAAGTGATGGGTGTAATGTAACTTATCGTAAGTGGTTTGATTAATTGTGTGGTATCGAAATTTTATCGTGGTATCGAAATTTTATCTTGGTATCGGTATTGTCGATTATTATTTTATATAACAAAGTTATAACTTTAAAAGAAAAAGTTATAACTATTGAAGGGAAGTTATGATCGATTGCAAACATTTATGATCGATCATGAAAAATGCGGTATTGGTTCTTATATACTTCAAAAAAATTATAATTTAACCTTAAAAAATTATAATTTTTAGTATCTGTACCGCCGATAATACCGTCAAAGTTTCCAATTGTGAGAATGGATATTAACCTTTTTGCACCATCTCACATTTGAATGGTAAGATTGATTGTTGGAGATTTTGTAAAGATTTTTGAATTGAAAGGTTTATTGCCAATGGACTTTAAAGCATAGCCAAGTTATATGAAAGTTTTGAGGTATAGTTTGGTTAAACATGGGTAATGCGTAAAGACTTATTTTTCGTTTTTTACAGGGATTAATGGTAGCTTTATCGGACCTTGACTTACCTTAGCTATAGGGGTAACGTGTTAGTTAATATTCAATATAACGGTGACACGACGTTATTATCGTTATATAATATCACTATCCCATGAGAAATAGTTAAATGAAAAAATTGAATCTTACTTACACATGGGTAATTGTTACTTCAAGTGAAAGCGATAATTACTAAATTTGTGAAAGATATGTGGCGACGTGGTGTCACGGGATATGTGTGACTTCGTTAGGAAATGATTGTTGAGTTATGTCATGAAGCAACATTATTTGGACATAATATGTTGACTTAATTATAGATAACCATTTAATTAACAGTGTACTCTAATATTTATTGAGACCCACTAATAATTTAATGATTACGATGAAATAGGTTCAAATAGCATTATTGTAACTTGTTTGATGGGTCAAGGTGTTGGTTATTTTTTGATCCATCAAACTGATCATCCTTCTTTTATTATTTTCGAGATGTGGAAGATTATTGGTTTTAGAGTACCGGGGTGAAGACTACGACGTAACTTGTAAGTAGTGGCAGGTTACGTAGGTGTTTCTAGAATAGAGACTATGTAATGGTCTAATTATTTATGTAGTTAATATTCAATGTAACGGTGACACCATGTTATTATCGTTATATGATATCACCGTCCCATGAGAAATAGTTAAATGAAAAAATTGAATATTACTTATACATGGATAATTGTTATTTCATGTGAAAGCGAGGATTACTAAATTTATGAAAGATACTAAATTTGTGAAAGATATGTGCCGACGTGGTGTCATGGGATAAGTGTGACTACTTTAGGAAAGGACTGTTGAGTTATGTCATGAGGCAATGTTATTTGGACTAAATATGTTGACCTAATTATGCATAACCATTTAATTAACAGTGTCCTCCAATATTTATTAAAATCCATTATCAATTTAATGATTACGATTTTTAGGTTCAAATAGTTTTATTGTAACTTGTTTGATGGATCAAGGTGTTGGTTACTTTTTGATTCATCAAACTGATCATCCTTCTTTTATTATTTTCCAGATTTGGAAGATTATTGGTTTTAGGATAATGGAGTGAAGACTAGGAGGCAACTTGTAAGTAGTGGTAGGTTATGTAGTTGTTTCTAGACTAGAGACTAGGTAGTGGTCCAATTATATATTTGAGGTGTAACACTACATAACTTAAATAGAATCTAAAAAATTGTAACTTAAATGCATATTATTAATTAAATGAGTGAATCTCATCAACTTTTTTAGTGGAACTCATTCATCCAACGTTCATCTAAAAGATGATATGTATTTGAGTTACGATTTTTGAGTTTCATTTGGATTATAACATTTTTCTTATGTGATACACTTGCACTGTCAATTTCGTTTCGCATAACTAGATCAGTGTTCGAAATTTAGAGTGTTTCGAGTTCTAGCATTAGGGATGATGACAATGAACTGAAGAAAAAAGGATAATCGTTCAAATTTACCTCGTTTGGACTAAGAATAGATCATACGTACTGAACGGTGCACGTATATAAGGATGCGTATGTAAACCTGTGCGGGGATAGATTAAAACTCATCGCCACCCACCTTGATAAACCTATGATATATATATTCTTTTTTTTTTTTGATATATTTGTTATATATTTCGGTTTCATTCTTTTTGTAAAATCATTTGTAAGATTTTAAGATTTTTTTTAAATTATAGAAATTAATTATTATGAACAGACTCGAGATAAAAATTCAAAAATATATACATGATAAGGATTGACTTACCGGAGACAATCATTGGTGGTCTACTGGGATATGCCCATTAACTTGGAATAAATAATTCAAAAATACTTATATATAAAGCAAGGTTATGGCATCAACTCCAGCACAGCTTGTTTTGCAAACTTTACAACATAGAAGCACATTTTTAGGCTACAGTTCTGCCTTGTTTAAAGCTGTTAAGGAAATATATTCTTTTCTCTCCCTTTCTTCCTTTCCTTCTCACCCTCCTCCTCTTGCCGTCGGCCACCACATCTCAACGTATCCAGTGAATGACCATGCCATTACTCGGTATACTATGTTATATACGTTGAGACATCGGAAATATCACTCTAGATTGTCAGAGTGAATTTCATATCCTGTGACTGGAGTAAGGTGCCGTGATGCACAAACCCGGCCACTATGGGCCTGTCTTGGCCGAAACGTTGAAACATGCATGGAAGATGAAAAACCAATCAAATTGCCTGAATCATATGCCATGAATGGTGGAGATGGAACTTGCAGTTATGCCCAAAATTCATCTTGTCAGGTAGTATCATTATTTTTATGCATGGAGGAGATGACTGGCTAAGTACAATCATCTCATCTCCCATAATCCGACATAACACGAGTTCCAAATATGAAATGACTAAAAATGACAAGTCACAACTCTCCATTACGCCCTTACTATAAATTTTTTATTGTGGATGTCTTTATGATTGACAAGCATTGTTTTCAGAGAGGAAAGGTAGATGCTGCAAAGGAACTCATCAACTTTCTTCATCTTCCACCATAAACCCATTTCGCATAGCAGATTTTGGTCGTTCCACAGGACCCAATACGCTTCTAGCAATGCAGATCATACTTGAAGCAGTGGAGCGAAAATTCAAATCAGAAAAACCAACAACCCAATTCGTCCTAGAATTTCAGGTGTTCTTCAGTGACCAAGTTTTGAGTGATGTCAACACCCTTTTTCAATCTCTCCCACCGGAAAGACGATACCATGCTGCAGGAGTAGCCGGCTTTTTCTACGACACGTTATTCCCTACGGCCTCCCTTCACTTTGCTTTCTCATCTTCTTCACTGTGTTGGATCTCCGATTTGCCGAAGGAGATACTGGACAGTAAGTCTCCAGCGTGGAATAAGAAAAGGATTCACTATACAGGAGGTAGAAAAGAAGTTTACGAGGCTTATGCAGCTCAATATGCCAAAGATTTGGAGACATTCTTGAATCCAAGGGCAGAAGAGCTTGTGGGTGGAGGGCTGATTGCTCTTCTGATTCCTATTGTCTCTAATGTTATGAACTCTTCTGAAATTACCATTGGGTCAGGGATTGATCTTCTTGGATCTTGCCTCATGGACATGGCCAAAATGGTTAGAAATGTTGAGAAATTATAATTTTGTTGACTTTTATATTTTTTAATTGTTAACACACATAACTTTTTCAAGATTGTACGCATCTGACCGACAATAGCTGTATCTTGCATTACCCTGACCTAAATTACACCATTTAGAATGACCAACATCATTATTTAATGGACTAAGCTAGATTTATAAAAAAAGGTTAAAAAGCCGATCATTTGATTACGTGACTCTAATATTTTGGTTTTTTATTTTACTTGTAACAAATTTAAAATTCAAAATTTACAAATTTTGCTCAATGCTTTTACGTCAATCTTTTGAATTTTTTTTTGTCCCCTTTTTTAAAATTCTTTTATGTATAGTTTTTTTATTTATGGCTTTGGATCTTGTATGGACAACAAAGTAAACCAATTCGGTATTGTTTAAATGTCCGAAAGGAGAATATATTCTCTATTGTACAGCAAAAGTGTTGTCTCTCAAAACAACATCTTTTTTCCATGAAATGACGGTTCCTGTGCTTTGAAACTGCAATAGGTATGTAAATTATTGTCTTGATTCTAATCTCATTCAAAATTATAGGTATGTTTAGTTTGCATCTCAAAAATTATTTTTTTATCTTTAAAAACAGTTTTTGAGAGAAAAGCTTTTTGGCCAATTATTTTTTATTTTTATTTTTTTAAAAATTGAGATTAAAAAGTTGATAGATTTAAAGAAAAAAAGTTATGACTGTCTTGTGTATTTTTTTAAAATAACTTTTTTAGAATTTAGAAAACACCACCACCACACTTCCACAATCATCACATTTCTAATTTTATTATTTTCTGAGTTACTATTCAAACAAATTTTACTATTTTCTATTCCGTAAAATTGTTTTTAAAATCATATAACTAAATAAGGTTTACGATACAAAAAATACTAAATCACACTTTTCTAAAACTTTTTTTCAAAAATAATTTTCAAATACTATTTTTTGAGACGCTAACTAAATTAAAATTTTCATATGTAATGTAATAATAAATCATAATAAAATTCATGTACCTTATTTTCATTGCAATTAGTTATAAATAAAAGTGTTACGAAACGATAAATTAGCTTTACAGAAGTATACTTTACTAAAGAATGCCACTGATGATATTGCAGGGATCGTTTAGTGAAGCAAAAGTAGATTCCTTCAACTTGCCTGTATATCATTTGGAATATCATTTCGGAAGTAAAATCATGGACGAATTGTTCAAACGTTATTCCAAGAAAGTTGCAAAGTCCAGCTTTACCATGAATCCAGACGATGATAAATCAATCTTTATGTTTGTCCTCCTTAAGCGTAAAACTTTAGTTACATAAACACCGAGGCTCGTAGTCAGCCTAGGGGTCGATACTGATAAAATAAAGAATAAATATCACGCACGACCCTTAAATCCAGTCCTCAGTTCTAAAATGTTTCTTAAACTTCCAATTGTTTCATTTTAATCCTTAAACTAAAAAATTAAACCACGTTTAATTTTTTTTATGCTTGTTTTTATAAAAAAACATGAAAATGTTAGATTGATGATTTGCATAGTTTTAATACTAAATAGAGACAACTAAAAGCTGTGGGAGGGCATTTTCAAACCGAGGCATAGTTGGAGCGTCGTATGTGATAATTAGTAAAGAATTAAATTGAGAAGTTGTTTTTTTTTATTTTCCGTTGTTATTTCTGATTTTATGTAATTTTCACTTAATTTCCATTTACTGTGTGTTGATGGGCTCATTCAAATGTTTTGAATGGGTTGTTACAAGTAGTTTTAATGGGTTGTAATATTTGCTTTTTAAAGATTCTGATAAGATCAAGAATTAAAATGATAAAAGGACTTTTTGTATTATGTGATTGTGTGTTTATATAGAGAATACAAGGAGAAAGTATTAACAGGATAAAATTCAAATATCCTAAGAATAAGGTAACTGATAATCTAATAGTGAGATAAGTTACATCAACGTTGATCTTGGAGATATAGCAAGGATATCCAGCTGTTGGAAGCGCCAGTTACGTGAGGATTATGGGCTCTGAGAATTTTTATTAGTTGGCAAGTCATTTACTCCTATACGCCCCCTGCAAGATGGTGCTTCCATTGGATACACCAATCTTGTTACGAAGAAGGAGAAATCGTTGTCGAGAAAGCGGTTTGGTGAGAGCATCTGCCAGTTGATTAGTGGTTGAGACATGAGACACTCGAAGCTCACCCTTGTTGACGTGATCTCGCACAAAGTGAAAATCAATGGCTATATGTTTCATATGGGAGTGGAAGATAGGATTGGCGCAAAGGTAAGTGACACCCACATTGTCACAATAAATTATTGGTGGTGTAGAGGGAAGTGCACCTAATTCACCCAAGAGATGCTAAACCCAAGATACTTCTATAGCGGTGGCAGCAACTGCCCTATACTCTGCCTCAGTAGAAAAGTGAGCAACTAAGCACTACTTCCGAGAGGCCCAAGAGATAGCATTGCCGCCTAAATAGAGGATGTAGGCTGCGGTGGATGTGCGGTCATCATGATTGCTAGCCCAATCTGAATCAGAGTAGGCATATAGTGAAGAGGAAATCTGACGTTTGAGTGATAGGCCATAATGAATTATACCCTTGAGGTACCTTAGGAGCCACTTGACAGCTTGCCAGTGTAATTGAGTTGGTTTATGCATGGACTGAGAGAGCTTATTTACTGCAAAAGCTATGTCTGGCCGAGTGAGGGAGAGGTACTGAAGTGATTCGACAATACTCCGAAATTCACTAACATCTGTAGATGCAGAACCATCGTTGAGAGTGAGGCAAGTAGTGGTAGAGATTGGTGTGGTTGCCTCCTTGGCACCTGTCATATTGGTGCGGGCAAGTAAATCATGTATATATTTGTGTTGTGACAAAAAGAAGACCAGTGGATGTGGATATGACTTCAACTCCAAGGAAGGAGTGGATTGCACCCATGTCTTTAATAGAAAATCAAGAGGCCAAGGCAGCAATGAAGGAGACTATGAAGCGGCCATTATTGCCAGTGATGAATAGGTCATCAACATAGACCAAGAAAAAAACAATGAGGCCATCATGATTGTAGATAAATAGAGAGATATCGGCTTTGAAATTGACAAAGCCTTGAGAGACTAGAAACGTGCCCAACTCAGTGTACCAAGCTCGTGGGGCCTGTTTAAGGCCATAAATGGCTTTACGAAGCCGAAAAACATGATTAGGTAGCTGATCATCAATAAACCCCCAGTGTTGAGCCATGAAAACTTCCTCTGAAAGAGTTTCTTGAAGAAAATCTTTGTTAACATCAAGTTGGTGAATCGGCCATCCATACCGAAGAACCAAGCAGTGCACAACACGAATGGTGGTAGGCTTTACAATTGGGCTAAATGTCTCAGTATAATTGACACCTGGCCGTTGATGGAAGCCTTTTGCCACAAGACGAGCCTTGTACCTGTCAATGGACCCATCTGGTTTTCTTTTGATCTGGAATACCCACTTGCAACCCACCAGGTTCTGTTTCGAAGAGGGAGGTACCAACTCCCAAGTGCCATTGCAAGCTAAAGCATTGAACTCATCTGACATGGCAGCTTGCCACTCTGGGTGTTGAAGGGCTTGGGAGACACATGTTGGTTCAAGGTGGCAGGTAAAGGATGTTTAGTGGTGACATTGAGTTGGCGAGGTTTAAAAATGTTGTTTTTGGCACGGGTGATCATGTGATGAGTTGGGAGGGGTGGTGGTGGGGGTGATGGTGGCGGGGATGTTGATGATGATGACGATGTAGAGGATTCAGGACTATGTGGGGATAAGAGGTTGTTGCACGGAGTCGATGTCAGGCATGAGTGTACCGTGGCCTGCTGTTGGTGTTGCGAGAGCTCCTCTAGCAACAAGATTGTTGTGGCTGGAGTGAGTGAAGAAGGAAGGGGCAAAGAAGGAGGGACAGCTGGTAGAGGAGGAATTTCAAATGAACATATCCAATTGGGAATGGTTTGAGGGGATATACGTGCATGAGAAGAGGTCGCAAACGAAAATTCGGATTCAACAAAGTGGACATGGCGAGAGATGAACATGCAATTGGTATTGGGATCAAGGCACTTATAGGCACTCTGAATAAAGGAATAACCTAGAAAAACACATGGGTGCGAGCAAGAGTCAAGTTTGTGCATGGCGTAAAGACGTAGCCAAGGGTAGCACAAACACCCAAATACACGAAGCTTTAGGTAATTAGGCCGAGCACCAAAAAGAGATTCAAAAGGGGATTTAAGACGGAGAATGGGAGTAGGGAGGCGATTAATGAGGTAAGTGGCAGCTTGAAATGCATGAGGCCATAAACAGAGAGAAAGCGTGGCTAGATGGAGCATGGTAAGACACGTGTCCACTATGTGTCGATGACGACGTTTAGCGGTACCATTGTGCTAGGGAGTGTGTGGGGGAATAGTTAGGTGGGTGATGGCATGGTTGGAAAAATAGTCTTTCATTTTGATGTACTCCCCCTATTATCCGAGTAAGTGGTGACGATAGATGTTTTAAAGTAGTTTTCAACAATGGATTTGAACTTTGGAAAGATAGTAAAAACATCAGATTTATGACAAATAAGGTAGAACCAAATATATTTTGTAAAGTGATCAACAAAAATAACATAAAGAGCGATAACCTTCCATTGAAGTTACTGGAGTTGGGCCTCAAACATCTGTGTAGAGCAGATCTAAGGGACCACGACTCTTGAGAGAAGATACATAGAAGGGGGCTGCTGGCTTTTATTACAAAGACATGAGTCATAATTTATTTCAGTGGGGAAGGCAAAGAGAGGAAGGGTGCATGAGGCAACAAGATGTGTGAGAATCCTAGAGGAGGGATCACTAAGCCGTCTATGCCAATTGAATACGGGAGCCTTCACACCAACCAAAGCTTGTAGGTGTGTTATAGGAGACAATGACTTAGGCCACACATACACATCATTATTATTCCGGTCGCGAATAAGAGTTGCCCCCGTGTGAAGATCCTTCACCAAGAAATAAGCAGGAAAGAATTCAATAGATATATTATTTGATTTACAGAACTGAGAAACGAAAAGCAGATTTTTCTTGATAGAGGGAACACAAATAAAATTAGATAAGGAAAAAGTAGTAGAAGGAGTGGGAAGAGTTACAGTGCCAATGTGAGTTATGCGCAAACCTGTGCCACCACCTATTACAATAGCATCTGAACCTTCATATTCGGAGGAGAATGAGAGGTTATTGAGATCATCAATGACATGATGAGATGCAGCTGAGTCGAGGAGCCAAGTTTGTGACTGTGGTGGAGCAATGGCAGTGTAGTTGGCAGTGGGAGCCGTAAGTGGAGCAGGGCAGATACGAGGGCTGCGCTTTGCGCTATGGCCATGTTGATCACACAATTTCCAAAAACCTTTGTAACCATGGCCTGGGCGTTTCTTCTGGTACTGATTTGAGCCTTGGTAACCACGATTAAAGTTAGAAGATTGTTGATGCCCACGATTGTTAAAGGTCTTTGGGGAAGAGGCTTTGCTGTTGAAGTGGAGCTTGGAATTATAGGTGTTGGATTGTCCGGACCGTTGAGTGACATTGGTCGTGATTGTTGGAGGCTCAGCACGCGCCTCATCACGTTTGACAAAATTTTCATACTCCACAAGTTTATCATAAAGGTCTTCAAAACTGATGGGGTTTTCCCGGGCACGAATCACTGCAGCAATCTCTTTGAATGCTGGGCCAAGGCCATTTAGGACATGGACAACAAGATCAATATCACCAAGAGGCTCACATGTGATTGAGAGGTCATCAAATATGCTTTTCATTGTGTTTAGAAATTCACCGATAGGGCTGGAGCCACGAGGGGTGGCGATGAGTCGTTCCTTGAGATCCATAACTCTGGATCGTGAGCTATTCGCATAGAGAGTTTTAAGTTTCTCCCATGCCGTACAAGAGGTTGTTGCCGAGGCAATGAATGGCATGATCTGTTATGAGACAGAGGCAAGAATAGAGTGCAGCAGAAGCTGATGTTGTTGAAGCCATAGAAAATGATCAAGATTTGGTGCATCATCGATGGTATTGGGTGGTTCCAAATGAGAACCATCCACATAACACATTAGATCGTATCCAATGAGGAGAGTGTTGAACTGAGCATGCCAAGACAAATAGTTTAATGGCACGAGTTTGAGGGGTAGTCACAGCAGAGGCAGAAGCAGAAGCAGAATTTGTTTGAGTGGTTTCAGCCATGAGAATGAGAGGTAGATCTAAGTGCTCGTGGAGTGTGATGCTCTGATACCATAAAGATTTTGACAAGATCAAGAATTAAAATGATAAAAGGACTTTTTGTATTATGTGATTGAGTGTTTATATAGACAACATAAGGAGAAAGTATTAATAGAATAAAATTCAAATATCCTAAGAATAAGGTAACTGATATTCTAATAATGAGATAAGTGACAGCAGCATTGATCCTAGAGATATAGCAAGGATATCCAGCTGTTGGAGGCGTTAGTTACGTGACGATTATGGGCTCTGAGATTTTGTATTAGCTGGCAAGTCATTTACTCCTATACTTTTAACGGGTCATTTCAATACCATTGTTATGTATCCTATCATTCGTTGTTTGATTTTTATAATGATAAAAGGATTCACTAACGTATTTTGTGCACCCTTATGTACCATTGGTCCCGCTAAGGATTGAATTCTTCTCTTGAGAATCTCAGTAAGTGAGTCCTTACTGACTCAAGTTTGTCTCTGCTTATATTTTTCTTGTTGAAGGCAGATGCAAAGACGATGTTAGCAGCGCTCCCATTGTCAATCAGGACTCGATGGATGGTTTTGTTAGCAATGATGACCCTTACTACCAAGGGGTCATCGTGGGGATGTTGGTAGCCCTCTAGGTCTGCATTCGAGAAAGTGATGTCCATGTTCAGCTGAGGTGCTTTGGACACAGTGTGTACTTCCAACATCTCCTCAGTTCTGACTTTGCGCATGTGAGCCTTCTTGGCTGAGCTGAACTCCCCGCCTCCAGCGAATCCTTCAGATATCACTCTGATATCTCGTAGAGGTTTTTGATGTTGCGCATATTGGATCAAGAACTTGATTTTCTTCTTCAATTGGATACAATCATCAGTAAGATAGATGTGGTCCCTGTGGTATTCACAGTATTTTGTTGCGTCCCTTTTTGCGGGATCTGCCTTTATTCGAGGTGGCCACCTCAAGAATTTTTCGTTATGTATCTCATAAAGGACTTGAGACACTATGGTTGTGAGGGCAGTGTACTGCCAAGGTGCAAATCTTGGCTACAATTCCTACGGTGGTGGACCAAGACGGTCTCTGACCTCTCCTTTCCTTTTTGGAGAGCGATCCCTGTCTCTCTATGAAGATCTATCTTTATTTCTTTTCTTTCTGGGAGTTCGGTCTCTCTTATTTTTCTTCTCCTTCTCCTTGTGCGTGGATGTGTTCCCTACCTTGGAGAGGAGTGCTTCCTCGCCGTTGATGTACTTTTTTGCCTTGGCGAGGATTTCTGCCATACTGGCTTGCGAATTTTTGGAGATAGATAATATCAGGTCCTTTGACTGGATTCCCAACTCAACAATAATGACAGTGATGGCGAATTTCTCGTCAGAGACATCCATTTTCAGGGATTCTGAGTTGAAATTTTGAACATAGCTCCGCAGGCTTTCATTGGGTCCCTGTTTCTAATTCAACAGGTGATAACTCGGTTTTTGATAAGTTCAAACTCCTATGAAGTGAGATACAGAGGAGATGGAGAGCTCTTTGACAGAACCTTTCAAAAGTGATGGCGAAGGCCTGACATCGTATCGGGTCCTAGTACCCATGTAGCTCCATTTGATTCTTGTAGGTATTGAGGTGATCTATGAGACCTTTTGTTCCATCAAAGGCCTCCATTTAGGGCATTCTGAATTTAGGTGAAAGTGAAAAGTGCAGCATCTGTGCGGTAAATGGGGACTCAGTCTGTTGAACTAAGACATCTATAGTCACTAGAGTTTTTCTTTTAACATCCTCTTTCATGTGGCTGAGTTCTTATTGAATGTCTTTAAATCATTGTTACCAATATTGTTCTTTCCCTTCCTGCTGAAATAGAGAAAATTCATTAATTATTACGAGCTTCCCTGTTTTGACTTTGCACTTTCTTGTCATCCTTATTCCTACGAATTCAACGATGAGTATTGCCCACAGTTTGGCGGCGTTCATGTCCCTCAGTGATATCTTTTAGGGGGTTGTTGTGCTGTCGTTCCCTCTGAGGGGGATCGTCTAGGGCTGGCTGCGTTCTTTGTGGATGTTGAAAGATATTCAGCAACTCCTCCTTCTGTTGGAGGAGACGTTGAATGGCTAGGCGAAGGACCTCCAATTCGTTGTTAGGTGCGGGATTAACTATAGGGGGATCGACTTTCGGTGTAAGCAAAAAAACATAGGGATTTTCTTGATGCCTCTCAATTGTAACTTCTCGTTTGTTCTGTAATTGAGGAAGATTCACTTGTCCTATGCTCATGTTACATGTAAAAACCATAAATTACTGAAGAAAATCAGTATATATATATATTTTTAACTGAAACAGATGTTCACACAGACGGTGTCAACTGATGATGTTAATAACGTGACTGAACAGAGGTATGAATATAAGGTGCACTGAACAATTCAGTTCGAGCTCCAAGGCTCTAAGGAGTAGGTTCTTTTGGGATTAATGGATGATTACACATAATATTTATAGTTCACTAGCTCGAGAGCTTAACTAATTCATTCTTAAGGGAATTTCTTGCACCTGAATCTATTAATAATTGTGTGTTGTTTACAAAGAGTATTTTGTAAGACTACAATGACTATCTCCCCCACTCTCGAGGGTCTTGCCTCGTATTTATAATTAGTCCTGGGCTTTGCTTGATCTAGGGCGAGATTTTCGCCCTTCCGTAGTAACGATTGTCTTCATTGCGCAATGAGATTTATGTCTGTTGGGTAATTGACGCCAAGAAAGAAGGTGGACTTAGTGGGATCCAGTTATCCTTTGCATAAATTTCCTCGAGATATTGACACGGGGAGTTGAGATCTGAAATCAAGGTCTACGAGTAATATTGAAGGAGCTCTTTATTAGAATTGAAAAGAGGAGGACGGTAATTTACTTAAAAAAAAAAAAAAGACATCACATAAAAAAAATGAAAAATGACCAACTGCAGTGGGTTCAAAGCACAGGAACCATCATTGCACATGTGTTGAAGTTAACCAACGTCATTTCGTGGGAAAAAGATGTTTCGAGGATTAACTGCAACAAAGAATCTATTTTCCTGCTCTAGCTTTCGGACATTTAAACAATACCGAATTGATTTACTTTGTTGTCCATACAAGATCCAACGCTAAAAAAAATATATATATATATACACATAAAAGAATTTTATAAAAGGGGACAAAAAAAGAATTCAAAAGTTTGACATAAACATATTGAGCAAAATTGGTAAAATTTGAATTTTAAATTTGTTAGAAGGAAAATAAAAATACCAATATATTAGAGTCACATAATCTGATCATCGTCTTTTCACCTTTTTTCATAAATCTAGCATAGTCCATTAAATATTGATGTTGGTCATTCTGAATGGTGTAATTTAGGACAGGCTAATGCAAGAGACAACCATTGCCGGTCATATGCGTACAATCTTGAAAAAGTTATATGTGTTAACAATTGAAAAACATAAAAGTCAACAAAATTATAATTTGTCAGCATTTCTTACCATGAGGCAAGATCCAAGAGGATCAATCTCTGACTCAGTTGTAGTTTCAGAAGAGATCATAACATTAGGGACAGTAGAAATCAGAAGAGCCATCAGCCCTCCACCCACAAGTTCTTCTGCCCTTGCATTCAAGAATGTCTCCAAATCTTTGGCAAATTGAACTGCATAAGCCACATAAACTTCTTTGCTACCTCCTGTATAGTGAATCATTCCCTTATTCCACGTCGGAGACTTACTGTCCAGAATCTCCTCCGGCAAATCAGAGATCCAAGACAGTGAAAAGATGAGAAAGCAAAGTGAAGAAAGGCCATTGGGAATAACCGGTCGTAGAAAGAGTCGGCTACTCCGGTAGCATGGTATCGTCTTTCCGGTGGGAGAGATTGAAAAAGGGTGTTGAAATCATTCAAAACCTGGTCACTGAAGAAAACCTGAGTTGGTTGTTGGTTTTTCTGATTTGAATTTTTGCTCCTCTGCTTCAACTATGATCTGCATTGCTAGAAGCGTATTGGGTCCTGTGGAACAACCAAAATCTGCTATGCGAAATGGGTTTATGGTGGAAGATGAAGAAAGTAGTTTCAGGTCAAGTTTGGATGCAACTCCTTCGTTGATGAGTTCCTTTGCAGCATCCACTGCCCCCCTCCGAAAAAAAAAAAATTAGGTCCATAATAGTCGGATTCACTAAATAATTTACGAGTGCCAATTAGATCTTAGAGAGAATTACCCCAAACCTCGCGAGATTTGTCATTTAATTATTCAGATCTTCTGAAATTTGAAATATTATATACAGACCCTCTGAGATTTGTATGCGTGTAACACTTAGACACTATTATAAATATATTCGTTAATAAATTACACTTAAACTTTCTTAAAGTTTGTGAGTATATAATACTTAGATCTTTTAAGTTTAAAATATTATATTTAGGCCAAAAATACTCCAATCAAATATAAAATATAAAATATTTTAAATTTTACAACTAAAATTCATGTTCTATTGTATCATTTATTGAAATAAAATTAAAAAAAATTAATTTTTGTTAAAAAAAATTTTAATTAGTATACAATTAAATTTTTTATTATAATTTAATTTAGTCGTTTAAACGACTAAATCAAAATACCAAATTACCCTAATTAAATCTAAAAAATATTGTGTAAATCTAAAACTTTTACCAGCACCAAAGAAAAATTGAAAAAATTAGGCTTCAATAATTGTCAAAGAAGAGCTGGCTTTAAAAAGAAGAAATATACTGAATTTAAGTTTTCCCGAGCCGTCCCACAAAGTCAATCCTGGTTGTTAGTAAGCATACATTAAGTGCATGTCTATCGCTTGTGGTGGATATCTAGTTGTATTGGACTGAATATGTTACGTTTAATATTCGGTCTAAATTATGGGTCAAGTGAGATTCGTGCTTGACTCAAGACGTTGTAGATGGCTGAGTCATCTATGCCATCATAACTCGTTCGGAAACAGTTTTATGATTTTTGAATTTCATTCTATGCTCAATATTTTATATTGTCTATCATTTTTTTTGTCCCGATTGCCTTGTACCATACCGCTGCAACTAATTGGTTAGTACTTACTTGGGGGCCTATGCAAACTTGCACTCCCTATTCCACCCCACCCTTTCGAATGAGAGATAATTATAGTGAAAATTAAAATAAAAAACAAATATTACCTGATAATTTGAGTTTTGACCATAACTATAATTTTCATCTCCTCCATTCATGGCATGCGATTTAGGCAATTTGATTGTTCTTTCATCTTCCATGCATGGTTTAAGGTCTTGGTCAATATTGATACTGACACGAATGGATTGTCCTAATGATGTATTGGCGTGTGGTGATAGGAGATCACACCACTCTACACCAATCACATGATGTGGGTGGCTCAATCTTGATTGTCTTGGCCCATGTAACATGGTATAGCGAGCAATGCCATGTTCCTCCACCGGATATGGCAAGACATGGCGGCCGATGGCAAGGGAAGTAGGAGGGAGAGAAGGAAAGGAAGAAATGGAAGCAAAAGAGTACATGTTTTTAATGTGTTGGAGTTGAGGCATCCACATTGCTCTATAAATAAGTGTGTTTCAACTCAAAAAACTATCTAATCAACAGACGAAAAAAAAATTAAAAAAAAACCCTCAATTCAGAGTCCATAAGGCCCGCCACTGACTCTCAATTGACAAGGATTGATTTGTTCTCTTGCTAGGCGTTACTGTTGTGTAATACTATAATCAGTCAAATTATTCTTTTATCAAATTTCTTACACCAAATTAACATGGATTATTAAATTAATGTTGCTCAAAATCTACGTAAATATCTCCATTGACAGATAATTTTCTTATGTCCAAACAATTAGCCAGTTCTTTTTACAACTAATAGAAATCTGACAATCATAACTGTGCCACATCATAAATTTTGAACTTTTTATAGTGTGTATTGATTATAATCATGTTCTTGTACGGGTTATTATTCATCGAGTTGAGGCTATTCGGATCTAAACATTTGATTTGAATTTTGGATACAATGATACGATAGTTGACATGGTTTAATAGTAAAATCTGTAGTTATTGTTGTTGAAATTTTTATAAACATTGTATTACTTGACACATCATTAGATTAGCATATTGAACCTAAAAAATTATAAATATATATACCCTTTGTACATGGTGTGGGTGCCAAGATCGTTGCACCCAAATTAATTGTCTTAGACTTGACACAACCAAAAAATTGTCGAGAAGGACAATAATTTTGAGAAGGACACTCTAACCTTCAATTATTAGCTACTGGATGATACTAAAAATCAAATCTTTACGAGCCGTAGATTTCGTTTTGATTTATTTATGATTGATTGTGAAAATAATAAAAAAAAAAAAAAGCAAAAATATAGAAACTCTATGCGTGTCTTATTTGCGATAGGTAGAAAATAGTTGGATCACTCGTTTCATGCAAAACAATTATAGGGTCCACTTCTTTTATTTTATTTTATTTGTATATTATATACTTAGGGCTCGTTTGATTGCATATTAAAAATAGATAAATTAGATAAAATAATCCAGTCTTAGATAATACGTAATTTTATCTAATATTTGACAATACACAACATAAACGTTAGATAATATTTATTTAATCTAATCGGTTGTTTAATTAGAAATTATTCCATAGTATTAAAATTGAATTGACAAAAATACAATCAATCAATATTTGTTATTTAGCGTTGAGGTCGTCCAACAAAGATGTTTTTGGGCATTTTTTTTTTGAATGGATTTTTGTATCGTTAGATAACATTAGATAAAAATTATACTAATCTTGTCCGTTATTGTGTTTTTATAAATATACAATTAAAATTAGTAACATTAAATAAATATATTCACACAATCACATATACACTAATGATGCACAAAATAGTCTTGTGCAAGATAAACAGTCGAGTGTGTGACAGAGTATAAATAATTCACAGTAAATAAAGCAATCAATGACAGTAATATAAATATTGAGTCAACACACATATATATAGTAATTCGGTCCACGTGACTTACTCCACTTTAAAAAATGGCACGGTGGTCGGGGAAGAGAGCAATGGTTAACTTCGGGAGGTACAATAATTAGGAGAGAGAAAAATTATATGTGTGTAGAGAGGTGTAGAGGTAGATGTGAGACCCGATTATGCATTGCATACATATTATCATGATTATGTGTGCTAAATTGCAATTATGTACGTGCCCACTAGGAAAAATATTTTAATTTTACCAAGGAAAATTTCATAGCTAATAAAATAAAATAATTTTAATTTTTTTTGAAAATTTTGTTAGTTTTGTCGACAAAATAATTTGTTAGTAAAATTGAAAAAAAAAATTATTTTGGATTCACTGGCGAAATTCTTTCCTAGGTAAAAGTTGATCAGTTGAGATTACGTCTTTCCCTCATCTTTATTTACCCTAAGCCATCGACTGCTTTACAATTCATCCACAACATTTGTCACTCAGATGGTCAGACTATCGTCTTCTTCAACCTCTTTGCCAGCGACCTTGCTATCATCGATGATCTATTATAATCCATTTGCTAGGGCATAGATCTGTAAGTTTTAATGCTCGACCTCTCTCCAACTGATCTTTATAGATCCCCTTCTTCAACATTTAATTTGTCTACCATCAACGATATCTGTAGTAATCTTATTTTTTTTTTGACAATTTTGTTTTGTAGGATTGTGATGAAATCGAACAAGAAGGTTGTCGTTGTGCTCTTAATTAGAAAGAATTTGTTTACTGTGTGTTTTCCAATAGTATAGTTTAAGCAGTGTGGTTGTTTTATAGAAATCTTGTATGTTGAATTAAATTTAGGCACATGTCATTTATCTAGTCGTGTATTGAGTGAAATTGAAGGAAAGAAATAATGGCGAGGATATGGATCCATTTTCTTATGTGCTTAACTCTCTCAATTCTCTCAATGTTGAAGCTTGTGTTTCTCCAAATAATTGGAGTTATTCACCAAAGCCATGCCTACCCTAAATTATTTTTTAAAATCAACTATTTTCAAACTTATTTTCCAAACCTAGTCATTTTTAGAAGATGTTGTTCCAAATGACACTATCATCGTTCAAAATGTCATTTGAAATGATGCCTTTCATTTCGAATAACGCATTTCATACATTACATATCAGATGTTAGGATTGATCCTACATGCCTCAAATTTTTGTAGTTTGATCCTAAGAGTGGATAAAATTTTGTATGGGTTTTTGTCACTACTATCATGTGGTGTGGACATCCAATGAGAGGTTGCCAAAAAAACAGCTTGTAAGACATACAAGTTGGCCTTTTGAAAAGAAATTCTGACAAGAATAGGTGACAATTATTAATTGAGTATATTTAATATTTTGTGAGTGATATATACCTCATGATACTATCATGAAAAATATCAACCAATCCTAAGTTGTTCATGCACAGCACAATGATTTCACATTTAAATAGAACAGGAGTTGATTACTACGTCTTACATAGTCTGAGAAACTAAAATGAGACAACTTGAAGTTATATAAAGAGTTAATATTATTTTTGATCCCTAAAATATCTATTTTTTGTTATTTTAATTCTTATTGTATCAATTTTATCAACTTTGTCCTTGAAGTGTTTAATTTGTGTCACTTTAAAGATAAAATTGATACAATGAAAACTAAACTAAAAAAAAATACATACGTTAAAGACCAAAAGTATTATTAACCCTTAAATAAACATTTTAAAACCGACCCTTATGATCACTAGGGTGAATCATTCTGTGAGGACTCGCTTTTACGCTTAAGGAGGACTAACATAAAAATGGATTTATCATTGTCTGGATTCATGGTGAAGGAAGACTGGGCAACTTTCTTGGAATAACGTTCGAACAGTTCATCCATGATATGACTTCCGAAATGATTCTCCAAAAGTCCCTCGAAGCAAGCCCTGAAGAACAGTGTGCGATGTCTGACACTAGGCATGGCGACATGTTTCGGAGGGTTGTTCAGGATCTCCATTCTCTCTATGCTGAAGCTTGTGTTTGCCTCTATCGATGCCTCCAATTCCTCAATGGGTGGAAAATATAAAGGTAAGTTGAAGGAGTCTACTTTTGCTTCACTGAATGATCCCTACAATATCATTTGCATCTATTAATATATGAAAAATTGTAATTTTTAAATGAATTCTTCATTGAATGATCCCTGAAGATCGGTTGGTCTTCGTTCGACGTCTATGTCACAGGTTGATGTATTAAGATACTCTTCAATACACTTTCATTCAATTATTGAGTGAAATTGAATGAACTTGCAATGGAGGAAATTTGGATTCTTGGTTAATCGTAAAAAAAACCTAGAAATAGGAGGAGAAAAACAACTGAATGCAAATAGAGCTGAGGACCACAATGACACAATGCAAAGAATGAGGACCACAATGACAAAAAGGAAGCATTACTATATTTTGCACAAATTATAATGAGCAATGCTATTTGAACCTAATTTATTTATTTAATTTGTTGACCTCAGACTTCCTTGTCTTTTTTCAAACCCTTACCTGAATTTATGTAAAAAAACTTGATTTGATATAGACTTTTCCAATTTACAAACTTTTTTTGTACTCAAACTTTTTTAAAAAATTCTCATGTTATCCCAATAACTCTTTTTTTACACAAAATATGTATATATAGCAATTCCCCGTGTCTAAAGGCAAGATGTTACTCATAAATTAGTTACAAATATTTGTTCATACATAAATGTAAAATAAAATACAATATTGTAATAAACGACGAATAAAATAAATCCGCTAATATTTTTTATAACATCAACCTACATGCAAAATTATGTTAATTGTTACGCCACGAAAGTTATATTATAACTACAGAACCATAATAATTCAAACATCTGAAAAATTATATTAATTGACAAAATTCAATGTTCTGTTTTTAATTCAAAATCCACGATTTTAATATTTATAATCAATTTTATCTAAATAATAACAGAATTGATAACTAATAAAATGAAAATTAAAACAATACTCTCACAAATAAACTAAGTCTGCAGATGTTGTCAAATGACCAAATATAACTATAAAAAATTCAACCGACTTTCAAAAGATACGACTTGATTGTTGAATGTGTAAGATTCGAGTTTATAGTAGTGTTTTTAAATTTATATTATTCTTCCTGGTTATTTATATTCTTAGTATATTTTCTTAAACTAAATGTTATTTAATATTGGATTATTTAGTAAAGATTGTTGTTTTGTGTTGTTCACTAAATATTAAATTTGTATGATTCGTATTCATAGTATTGTTTATAATTTTGTATCGTTTTCTCGCTTGTAATTTTGTATCATTTTTCTCGGATATTTAGATTTTGATTATTTAGTAAATATTGTTGTTTTGTGTTGTTCACTAAATATTGAATTTGTATGATTTGTGTTTGTATATGAATTTAATCTTGTATATTTCAAATGTTAAACATATTTTCTTTAATATATTTCTTGATATCTAAGTTGCCCAATAAGTTGAGTTTAATCTCGTATATTTTACATGTTAATCATATTTTCTTTGTTAAATTA